CTGTATCAAGAAGTTAAAGTGCAGCTCATATTATATTGGCTCTGTCTCCAGTCAGTCGAGATTAATTGACCACTTGGTGCTGAAATGTGGAAATCTGCACAATTGCTCCACTTCTTTAATTACCATTCAAGAAATTACAGTCTTGAATGCTGTGCTGTGCTGTGTTTGTTCAAGGCATTTGGCTGAGCAAGTGGGAAAAGGAAATGATGAGCAACTTAGCAAGGAGGATTGCTTTGATGAAATTTGTCTGTTCCTCTGGCAGTGATGGCAGGAAGCAGAGCAAGCAGTTGCAGCAAATGTCTTTAGTAATTCAGTGAGGTATCCAGTACAGTACACTCATCTGGACTCTTTAAGCTTTTGGAGCTGCAAACAATATCTTTGAAACTGCTGAAGTGGCACTTTTATGTTACAAGAGGCCTGATGTGTCATCAGTGCTTGAATCCAATAAGTTCACCTAGAGTTTGGTATGGTTGATCAAAACTTATAAAGCCTTAAACTGCAGCTTTTGGTTTTTGAGGTACATGCAGTTAGCCTTTTTCATTACAGTATCAATGGTTGTCAAATCTGTTAGTTAATGATGCCGGCTGCTTTGTTCAAAAATTGGTTGGACTATTGGGTTCAATAAAGCTGCAGGATTAACAACAATGAGTTCTTTATGAGCATTTGTTGGTGCTGCACAATGTAATGGCTTGTAATTTTGGCCAATAAGAGGCAGTGGGAGGGAGTCTGGGAACTGTCAGACCCTTAGTGATGCAACCTGCAGCATTGGCGAGTGAGAAGGTGAAGGCTGTGTTTGCTCCAACTGTGTTTTTCCTACTCGAACACAGAGAACAGGATGAAATGAAAGCAATAAATTGGGTTGTTCCTTGTTGCTGGCTTCTATAATGGTTAAGTTAGACCAAGGAGCTGAGATGGATTGGTAATCAGTGATGCAGATGAAATGTAGGTCTACTTTGATAAAACTGTGTTACTGTATTGCTTTTTTATGCAGAAGACTTATGACATTGGTGAAAGTGTGATTGAATTGAATTGAATTGAACAAGTTTATTTAGCCAGAAAAATACAGATACAGAGTTGTTGAAAATGGCTGGGCCAGTTGAGAGCCTGAGCTCTCTTGAAGGCACCTGCTATTCTATATACTGTACTGTACATTTATCTGAAGGAAGTATTATGTAACAGTTAGTATCATCTGGAATAGTACACGTAGCTTGGTGGTAGAAAGAACATATCAGAATGTTACTACGGTTATCACTTCGTTGTTTATTTACTAATTTAATTTAAATAATTTTATTTTTAAGTATTTTTTTACATTTATATTATAAGTACAGTATATACCTATTTTACAGTGGAGTTGATATACTGTACATTAATATGACAAGAAGGGAAAAATACAACATGGGTTGTGGAAACAAGAGGACAGAAGCTGTCAGTTTCATGTCTTGTTGGCAAATATATAATTACCCGGTATTGTAATTTCTATCGATTCATTTTTACAATTTCTGACATAACGGTTTTGGTGGTACAATAAAAATAATATAAAGTAGGTATTAAAAAAATATTAATACTGTACCTGTACTGTACTTAGACAATAGATATTTTTTAAGAAATAATTTAAAGGGAGTGAGTGTAGTCTTTGCTTGGTTGGGTGGGGGTAAGTTGTTCCACACCTTCACACCATGATATTTTATGGAGGTCTGGAACTGAGAGGATTGCATGGGGGTGTCTTAGTAGCTTTTGGTGTCTTAAAAGTTGAATCTCTGATTATTCCGGAACTGGAAATAATTATTGTCAGTCAAGTGATTAACAGATTTGTAAACAAATAGGGCTCAGCAATAAGTGTTAATATCCTCGAATTTTAACATTTTTAATTTAGCAAATTGTTAATTAGTGTGGTCAGTTTTTTTTTTTCCAGGTAAGTCATTGTTTGCACAACTCTCTTCTGCACAATAATCTTGGACTGTATTTTTGTAGGGCCAGAGGCCTTCCTCCACATAATGTGTGACAGTGTATCAAGTGTTGGTGAACAAGATAATAATAAATTCTTTTCATTGCTGCAAGAGTGAGTGACTGAATGTTTTTTGTTGGTTTTATCTCATAGATGTGCCATAGTCACCTGCTGCTTGATAATTTGGTCCATCAGATATATTGTAATTTGACAAAAAATTACCAGAATTGTACAAACATCTTATGTGGAAATTGTGCTACATAACTTTTCTTGGGATTTTTTTAAGCTCCATAAGGATTTAAGATGTTGCATCAAACTAGTCAGCCTGTTAATGAAGTTTAATTAATTTGAAAGTTAGAGTAATGCTAAAAAGAAAGGTGTAGGGTTAGGTTTTTATCTTGTACAGGTTGTACCCCTCTAGTCCGGCATTCTGTGGTCCAGAAACTCCCGTGGTCTGGAACGATTTTAGTTTGTCCAATAGGGACGTAGATAAGCAGCTTTTTTTTCTTTTTTTTTTACTTATCTGAATTATTATTATTATTATTATTACAGGAGTATTAAATTTTTGCCCCTCAGGCCCCAATGTGGGTCAGTGACCTATGCCCGGGTGGGCTAATCCCCGTAAAAAACAACAACAACAAAGCCGCGGGAAATTAAGGTTTGTTTACATCCGGCAGTTCGGCTGCTCTCTCTGTGCTTGTCTATACAGAGTACAACATTTAACCCTTCAATATATATGAGCAGTAAATAAGTGTTGCTTTCATATTCTTGTGTAGAGTAATGACGATATATTTTCACATGTGCGCACTTACATACGAGCAGTCTCACTTTTTTTTTTTACCATTAATGGTTAGCTACTTATATTATTCCATTTATTAACATTAAATAACATTACAGGTACTTCAAGCAACCATATTCATTTTTTACATTAATTTTACTACAGCTAAACTCAGGGTCTTATTTTCTTCAGTTTTATATGTAGAACCAATCAGTCACTGGTTTCGTAAGCTTTAACATAAACAATGCCGGCAGCCGTCTCGTCTCCTCTAATATTCCACGTATTATTAATAAATTTTATTGTTAATTTTGCACACACGTACATTAATTCAACAAAAACAAATTCAGAAACATTAATTAAAATATATATGAACAGTAAATAAGTGTTGCTTTCATATTCTTATGTAAAGTAATGATGATATGTTTTCACGTGTGCGCATGCGCACTTACATATGCGATCTCTCTTTTTCTTTACCATTATCGTTAGCTACTTCTATTGTTCCATTTATTAACATTAAATAACATTACTTAAAACAACCATATTAATTTTACTACAGCTACAACCAAGGTCTTATTTTCTTCAGTTTTATATGTAGAACCAGTCAGTCACTGGTTTTGTAATCAACGAAAACAATGCTGTGTCATTTCCTCGTGTTTTAATATTCTACGTATTATTAATGAATTGTATTGCTCATTTTGCACACATAAACATTAATTCAATAAAAAAGACATTCAGTAATAAACAATAATGAATCTTTGTACATAAGAGAAATGACGCTGTTTACACGATTATGCACGTCGTCTGCATGTTGGCGGGCCGTTCAAACCCGTCGAAATTCAAGTTTCCGCCGTCAAAATTTTTATTTATTTATTTTTTTGTGTTCCAATAAAATACGTTAAGAATTAAAAACTCGCGAAATTTGAGAAGCTACTATACGACATTTAACCCTTCAATATGTCTTCAAAGAGACCATGATGCAGAGAAAGTGGTGCTAGGGCTTCCAAGCATAAGCACAAGTCACTATCTATCCAGGAAAAGGGTGAATTTCCATGGTCCGGCAATTTCCATGGTCCGGCACCGGTCAGGTCCCGAGGTTGCCGGATTAGAGAGGTACAACCAGTAGTTGTCTTCTTCCTCATTCACATTATAAATACAGTGAAACCTCTATTTAACAGACTACTATATGGAGAGGAAAGTCTATGTACACTACTCAACACGAGGCATTTCCTCATACAATTTTTATACATAACTTGCCCTTATTATTTAGCCAAGATCTTACATTTTACTTTCAGTTTCTCCCACCTTGTACAGTACTCCTTTCATATTTTTTTCCTCTTTTTCTCTCATTATCTAATGATCACGTCATATACAAATTCTTTGAATGTAATCTTCCAAATACTGTATATCATCTGTTTCTGACGTCACTTTATTGTGCAGTAATGGTGCATGTTTACAACTTAAGAGTACTTGTAATGTGTTCATACTTAACAACTTTTTACTGTATTTCAGTCCTTTTTGATACTGTCACTGTCCTGTATTTATTTTTATCTTGTTGCTGTAGTTGTCTTCTTCCTCATTCACATTATAAATACAGTGAAACCTCTATTTAACAGACTACAGGTACTATAAGGAGAGGAAAGTCCATTATATCAAGGGTCTGTTAGATGTGAAACCTCCATCTAAGGAACTAAATAGAGATGAAATTCCGATATATCAAAGGTCTGTTATTATTTGGAGAGAGAAGTCCTTTATATTGAGGTTTCACTGTACTTGCATTATGTGTTATTTTAAGTAATGTTGGCTTCTTTTGCAAGTTAAGTTCACTACATGCCATCTTTCCTTCACTTTTAATAATTTTATGTTTTTGAAAATACAGTATATATAGTAGTACTGTATTTAAAAAAATTATTTTTGTCTGTTTCAGTTTCTAATCTGTACACTTTTATTTATTTGGTTAACTAATGTTCAATTCTAATCATCTAGGCATAACTTTCTTAATTCACTCCCTTTAGTTCAGATTTGTTTTGATCATCCAAAATAGAGAATTAATACAATATTTATGTTGAAAGTCATCATATTTTTAATAATTATTTCCAAATTAATATATTACAGTAATATTAAAGCCCCCAGTGTTATGAATAATAATTTTGTAGTGAACAGTAAAGCTCAATGCATAATCATTTTACAGCTTTTATTTATGATAATCATAATTTCCCTCACATTCTATGTCTCATTTGTGTTCAAATACTGAGTTCTTTTATTTTGCCACCTCCCAAGACTGGAGCCTCCGTGAAGCAAGAAGGGAAGGATGTAATCGTGCAGCTGACGCCACCGTCCCCACCAGTTGAAACAGATTATGGCCAGAGTAATCCTGAGGACTCTGATATGTACACCACAAGGAGTTAGACTGTAAGATAGTAATGATTTATATATTGCGAAGGATGTCTCAGCAAACTGTATACACACTGCATTACAGATTTTGGTGGTGATCATGTGAATGCTTGTATTTCAACAGCAACATTATCCTCACATAATGATGTGTGTGTCATTTCCCACAAGTGAGGACAATCTTGCTGTTGTATTACAAGCCTTCACACATTTTCCACCAAAATTTATATGGTAGTGTGTATACAGTTTTTGAGACAACCTGTATTGATAACACCCAGAGAATTACCTACTGATAAGGCTCCCATAAAGATACAAGACAAATATTGTTATGTTTGCCACTGTAGTGTGCAACCTTGGAAGTGTTTATATGTAGTTCTCTGCATTTAACAATATACTGTAGATGGGAGTTGCCTCTGAAGATGTCTTGAATAAAGATGAAAGCTAAGGTGCTCCGTTGTTAACCTTTTCCCGTGTGATTTTATCAAGATGATATATATATATATATATATATATATATATATATATATATATATATATATATATATATATATATATATATATATATATATATATATATATATATATATATATATATATATATATATATTTATTTAATAAGGTAACCCTTTATATTTAAGCCTCTCTCTGTCCATGTAATCCAGTTGCCTCTGAAGATGTCCAGAATAAAGACGAAAGCTAAGGTGCTTCGTTGTTTCTCTTTTCCCTGTGATTTTATCAAGATTTATCTTATCCACGTTTTCATTGTGGATCTACATGAAATATATATATATATATATATATATATATATATATATATATATATATATATATATATATATATATATATATATATATATATATATATATATATATATATATATATATATATATATATATATATATATATATATATATATATATATATATATATATATATATATATATATATATATATATATATATATATATATATATATATATATATATATATATATATATATATATATATATATATATATATATATATATATATATATGGAAAAGAACAGGGCACCTTCAGAAGTGTGGACAGGGTGACCTTAAAACATGAGGTCAGGTCATAATGATGTGTGCAATCACACCAATACACATGGGGCTGGGGGGAGGCTGTGGCTGGCAGGTTAAGATTCAAAAAGCCGGGGACCACTGTGCTCTCTCCGTCAGATTTGCAGTTTCAGCATTTTTGACAGCCCAGGCCACTGACAAATAAATTTATGTAACATTTTGTCATGACATCGTGAGTGGTTTGGGGTGAATAATAACCCCTATATATTATGAATTAGGTCCAAACCTGTTGAATATATTCAAATTGGTATTTTCAAATATAAGTCATACATAGAGCACTCTTACACATAAATGTTTTAATCCCAATACTGTATGTATTTACATAGCACAATCATAAGCCTATGTAATTAGTCACAATCTTAACACAAAAAAACGGCCCAAAGTCTACCTGTGTACACAATAAGTACTAGTTAAACTTCGTGTTGAAAGTCTAAGAAAAGCGGGGTAAGGTGTTGACTCTAAGATATGGGTAGCTTCTCATACTTTTCACCTTCCTGGCTATGGCTACAGTCAGCTATGGCAGTCAAGTGATTATAATTATACATAAACAACTCCCTTCACACCCCTCCAACCTCCTTCTGGGCCTCTCATCTTCAACCATCTCAACACTCTGCATTGTAGTTACAGCCTAACATAACATTTGTTTTTATATGTCATCATAGTATGTGCGCTTTAGCGTAACACCTTTGTCCGTTGGTCACGCTCAAAACCAGATCAGGCCTTTGATACTTAAGTTTGTCACGTTCATGCGACTTATTGCCCTCAGGCTGGTGGTATTTAACTTTGTCACATCCTTGTGACTAAGCTGCCCTCAGGCTGGTGGTATTTGCTAATTTTGTCACGTTCTCGTGGCTATGCTGCCCTAGGGCTGGTGGTGGATTTAACTTTGTCACGTCCTTGTAGTAGCTTCCCTCAGGCTGGTGGTATTTAACTTTTAATTTTGTGGCGTTCTGTTGACTATGCTGCTCAGGCTGGTGGTGATTTAACTGTCATTCTTGTGGCTAGCTGCCCTCAGGCTTGTGTGGTACTTATCAGTTCCTTGGGACATCTTGGTCTTTGGCGTTCAGACATACCATCTTCATGTGTGGATACCCAATTCACTTTCTGGCTGACTCCGTCAGCCTTTCCATTGCTCCTCCAACAAGCGTAATTTTTGTCTGATGTATAACATTGTGGGCGTCGTGCGTCTTAACCACTGCCTGTGGGACAGTCCATCCTCGCCAGCCTTGACTTCCATCACTTTCGACAGGTGCCATTTGTTGCGTGGACTATTTGCTTCTGCTATAATGGTTAGGTCTGGGGTGAGAGATTTAGCCGTGGTCTGAAAGTGCACTTGTCGAGTTCTGAGTTGAGGGAGATTACTCGGTCAGCCAGCGCTTCAAATGATCTGCAAGGTATGGTCTGCTTCCACCTTGCTGTGGTATGATTAGCCTATTGACCTTCCACCTAAGGGAAGATTACCTTGACTTAAGTGCAAAAGATGGTGAGTGAGAGCCTTTAGTTCATTTGGAGTGTTTGGAGCTTGGGGTGGTGGCCTCTCGTTAACTATGGCTTCCCTCACAGAACAGTGTTTGCAGACATTCGTCGTCTAAAACTTGTGACCCCACAATAGCCTGCAGGACCTTCTTTACTGTGTTGATCTGCCTTTCCCCTCCCCCATGTGTGGGGCAGCTGGTGGATTGAAGGCCGAGTCAATATCTGCTCAGTAAGGCACCTCTGGTCTGCATCTTGCTTAACTTTTTCACTGATAGTTTTTGAGCTCTTTGGCTGCCCGTTCCATGTTGTCCCATTATCTGACCTAATACGGCTCTGGTGTACCTCTGCGTCGTGAGAACCTTATTATTGCGTTGAGGAAGGCATCTGCGTCTAATAGGCCAGGACTTCTGAGATGAACAGCCTAATAGTTGGACATAAGCAGACATCGGTGCTTCTGCCTGTTCCTCCCTACCTTGATAATGAATGGGCCAAAACAGTCCGTTCCAGTTAGCAAGATGGAGCCTTTCAGGGTAGCCGATCTATTGATAAGTCAGCTTGCCTTTGATGCAGCTTCTCCAGTTGTTGCGTCGGCACACTACACAGCGTCGTGTGATTCTTATAAGCATAGTCTGCCCTGAATCAATACCTTTTGCCTCACTACGATCGTGTGTTCTCGTCAGTTTGTCGGCTCTCTTCGTGCATCTCGCACTATGATTTGTTGATGTGGTGGTCTCTGAGCAGCAAGATTGGCTCTTCACCTTAGCAAGAAGGTTCCTAATTCTTCCTTTGATCTGAGCAACGTTATTTCGTCCAAGTGAGTTCAGTTTATATAGCATTGTCCTTGTTGGCTCACCCTTTTATTGACAGTTTGGTTTCTTTCTCATAAGCCTCTTTTTTGCTATAATTTTATAATTGTCTGCTTTCGACCGATTGTCTCTGCGGTCCTTGTTACTGGACCCAAGCCGCAGATGAACCTTTTAATCCATGCCACCCCTTTCGCAAGCGGTACCATGATGAGTACCTGAGCCACAGTATGGCGAGGACCACTTTTGACTGCTAGCTCACTGCCAGAGCAACTGTTGGTCTCTGGTGTGCTTCTCGTTTCTACCTCAGTGATCGTTCAGAACTGCTTTAGCTCGCTCGCTTTGGCCACCGTTCTTCAGCACTGGTAGAAAGTCAGGACCTGTGTCACAGTCCTGCAACCGGTCAGGGCAGGTATTCCCTGGTTGCATCATCTTGCTGGGTTCAGCGATGTGCGACATGTCCACTGGTCGGTTCTTGACAGCTCTTCTGTGGCTGCTATCCTGTTGGCTACAAAGGGTTTGATCGTCTGCTCGAGGTTGGCGTGTGCTGCAGACTAGCATGCTATCCATCAAAAATAAGATTCGTGTATGGTCATGGTCATTTCTCGTAGTCGTTCGATCAGCGTTCACTGCCAGGACAGCTGCACAAAGTTTAGCAGCGGTATTGGTCGGTTGTGGGTGGGGCCAGCTTGACCCGTCCGTACGAAAGAGGATTTGATCCCTCCGCTGAGGTCTACCATTCTCAGATAGGTCACCGCACCGTAAGCCTGCGATGCATCGCCAGAAGATGTCAACTGTGCTGAGATGATTCTTTTGCACATGCTGTTTTAGCATCTGGGTACCCATCTGGGTGCATTAATTTTTTCTAGGTGGGCCAGTTCTGTAGGTGGTCCAGGTGGTGTGAGGTTTAGCCGACAAAGTTTCGTCCCAACCTAATCGACTCCTGCATTCACACTGAAATAATATTTTTAGCCTGTGTGATGATGAATGGGGCCACGAACTGATGGGTCATAAATGGGACTGACAGGCTTAGTACTCCTCTCCTGGTCGTGGCCTTGGGTTTGGTTGCACCTTGATGGCGAGCTGATCACCTTCCAGAGCCACCTAACCCCAGAGCTCGATCCATTTGGCAATTTGTCTTGCCTCAGATCAATTTCCTTCAGTGTATTTGCCTCTCCTAGTGGGATGGTAGTAGCACTCCTTTGTGGTTACTGGCCCACTTAGATAGCAAATCCTCCACACACCAACAGTCTTGAAGCTGACACGCTGGACATTGATGCTTGTTTGATGAGGTCCAGCGACTGAGGAGGTAGTCGCGTAGAAATTGACTTCGATTAGCCACCATGTCAGGCTTCGGATCTGGTGTTGGAATGTCGAGGAGGCGTAAGTTGCACATGAAAGGGCTCCACCCCACCAAAGATGTTGCACCTTCATCCTGTAAGTTACTGGCTCTCTTTCTCGGTCTCCATTCTTTCCCACCAGAGGAACCTTACGCATCTCGATGTTTCTGGCGCTACATGGGTTTGATGGTATGGCCTCATCTGCCACGATGGCTGTGGTTCGGCAGGAAACCTAAACAGGACTTAAGCAATTTGTTGTTGAAGTCTGGACCTTGTATTACCTGGTCATTCAGTGATGTCTTTTTTGTTTGGTTGCACAGTCAAAACTATCTTGTACTTTGTTTGGCTTATTTAGGTTCAACACGGGTGATGAGGCAGATTACCAGACCAGTCAGTATCCAGCTAGCCTTTAGCGCCCAGGCACTGATTCAGCATATCCTTCAGCAAGCAGTTTATTTATTTCCTCTCACGTATCCTTATGCGCGGCCGTGTCGTCCTTGGATAATCTTGAAGTCCATCTGGTCGGCCTTCCGCCCACGGCCTTGTTGTTTTGGGAGTTCTGTGTGTTCTCATTACGGAGCGGTATGGGGAGGTGGTAATGACCATTAGTTTTGATGCCCCTGTCTCTGACCATAACCTCAACACTCTTTTGTCCTCAAGTGAATGAGCTGCTGACTACCCAAGGCTCCTGTGTCCCCCACTTTCCAGCTCCCAAAAAGCAA